GTTTCAGAAGCAGTATTTAATATCTTTAAATCATTTTTTTAAATTTTTTTTTCATCATTGTTCCTATGATTTGTTTTATATCAAAAATATTTTTAAAATTTTTATTTATTATTCTTTAATTTAAAGTTATTTTTTGTAAGATTTTAATTTAAAAACTCTATTCTTTGTTGCCATCTCTGTAGATACCTTGAACTATTTTTAACTTCTTTGTTGATGTTTTATCAAAACAATGTTCCACTGCTGAAGATCTTTTTTGATCTGTGAATCCTTCCACTTTGGTCTAGAAAGTTTATTTTGTCTTGCTAAAAAGAAGAAAACCTTTTCTCCACCAACTGATTTGTACCAATCAGAAAAGTTCACTTGAAATAAACCATTTGATTTCTAAAGAATCTAATGTGCTAAGATTAACAAATTTTCTTAGGCCAGCCAAGTAAGAATCTCTGCAAAGACCCAAATTATAAATGCTAGAAACATGAAACATTTACACCTTGAGGTGGAGAGTCGTAGTTCAATGAAGTACCCAAATATGCTAACAACAATATTTTAGTTTCTTTCCATTTCCTCTTTCTTTGGGACACTTGTCATCTTAAGTCCCTCTAAGGATAAAACACTTCATTGAACTTTAACACATTATTAGCCAATTCAGTCTTCAGCGATGGAACTAAAAAAAAATATAAGTAGCTTCTAACAAAACTTTGACTTACCATACCTTATGAGATTCTTACACAAATGATGCCTTAAACCAGTTCAATGATAGAAATGTCCAGATTCAAGCAGGGTTCTTGTCTTCTAGTCATTTTGCTCCCTTTTCCTTCATACACCATATTGTTTGTTTATTGAACGTGTGATCAAATGGTTAGAATATTAACATTCTGACCCTGAGACCCTGGTTCACATTTCACTATGGTCAACTTTGTAAGGGAAGTGGATTCGTGATAATATCAGCTTGTGAAGACAATCCCAGGCTCTAGTACTGTTCAGATGTGCCTGAAAACAGTACCACGGATTGCCCCAATCCGTGTGAGTGAAATTGGGTAGACGGAACAGTTTAGAAGCCATTGATGGTTGTGGTAGCACAAAGTCATAATTCATCATGACAGAGTAATAAGCATGCTGGCCTTTTTCAAACTGTTCATCATGCCAGATCATGTGCTCTCTCCCAGAAACTGCAACTAAGGTTTGCTCAGTATAGTTGCAGTATAAACCACAAACAAATGTGCCTGAGCAAGTGTCTGCAACAGGGATTATTTAGCCTAGCAAACAAATATGCTCGGATATGAGTGACCAGCCATCCATACATTTTTTGTTTACTATTTAGTTATGTTCACAGGTTGGTTTTTGCAATTATGAATTCTTTAATGGCCAGAAAAGGGATTGACTAATGATTTGTTAAAAGATACCGAAAAGAAAAAAGGCCAAGTCAGAAATCTAAAAAGTCTTTATATTTAACATCTGAAAGAAACAACTTAAGAATATTCCTGCTATTCTTAGTAAGGGTAAATCCCACAAAATCTAAATGTTATTTATCTAGGGGTCTATATTTTAAGTTAACTTAGAACAAATACTGCACTTTGGTCTTAGAATTTCATTTTAATATTTGAAGGAAAGCAGATAAAAGATTTGATTATTGAACACAGGTAAATAAATTCTCCTAACTTCTGCTTCCATTTTATTTCATTAAATTTAGTTCATTTGTTAGTTTCTGTCTGTATTACAATCAATACAAACTGATTTTAATGTTTCTATTAGAGAAGTAAATGTAGAGTTACTGAAGAATAGTTTGACAAACTTGGTAAAACTCAGTGATTTTTTTTTTTTGTTTTTGTTTTTTTTTTTTTTTTTCTATCTTTAGGTTACATATCAGATTTTAATTTATTTGTTTTTGTACACTAAATTATATAACAGTTAAAAATGTTTTAACTTCTCCATCTGATAATTTATTCAGTAAAAGATGGATCTTCAACATGTAAAAGCTGGTATCTTTTCACCTGAGATGATTTTTTTTTAGTCAAAAATCTTTTTACGGGTCATTTAAAACAAAGTAACTTCTTGTCATTATTATTTGGAATGAAAATTGTGTTTCTAACTGAATTAGAGATTAAGAGTACTTGGTAACCCACTCACCCCCTCATTTTTGTTTTAGTTTTGGGCAATGATAAAAACATGCTGTGTTTTTTTTGTTTATTTTTTTTTGATAAAGTAAGATTAAATTCACCTGCATTTTTAAGCTTTAATAAACAAGAAAGAAGTGATCCTAGGAGAAATCAGTTTATTTCTCCTCAACACTTCCAAGTCACTTTCACAAATTTTCATGGCCATTTGATATCTACGCAATTTACCTCATATGAAAAGGATTACTTCATTTCAAATAATTTATGTGTTTTTGTTTGTTTATCTTCAAAATGAATCTTCTACATTACTCTTATAAAATTTCTAAATCTGTTCTTAATTGTTAAATTATCTGACAAATGATTTGCTATATGTCGAGTGCTTTCAATCGAGAACCAAAGAATAAATAAATCATTCCTATTCTTTTATTGTTGAAATAAAAGAAGCTGCGCAGTGTTGCAATAAAATTAGTACATCAAACCCAGTAATTAGTTTAAAAGTAGCAAAAGAAACTCACTCACAAGTAAAGACTATTAATGGCTGATGTAGGTAAAAAAAAAAAAGAAAAGAAGAAAATGCCTTCAGCTCACATCAACAGCCAAGTAGAAATCAACTCTTTGGGGGCGGGGTCATGTAGTGTCACACTGTTTTGTGTGTGAAGAGGTCATATAGTGTACCCTTCTGTTTGTGTGTGTGTGTGTTTTTTTTTGTTTTTTTTTTTCTTCAACTGGTGAAATTTAAAGCTCTATGCAAGTTCTCCCTATGTGCCATATCTATATAATGTATGTATTTATGCCTCTTTTTAATCTGCAAACTGCATTTCCATGACTTTTTTTTTCTTTTTTTTTTTTTAAGATGGTGGAGTGATTTCTCATTGCATTTTCTACAATTTTGAATTCAGAGTTATCTTTCTTCTAAAGTGGTTGCCAAATAAGGCAAGAGGGCCCAGTCTACCCTGCTATTCTACTCATGACTGGGGTGAAGAGCTGGAGTCATGCCTTTGCCAAGGCTTTTAGCGTAAAGTGAGCACAAATTGTTGCAGCTGGAAATTTAAGCTCAGGTCAACAATTCTCTCTTCCATGCTGTTAACTGCAAATGTGTCTGTATACTCATGCACGCACACACACACACACACAAATTTGTGTGACTGTTCTAAAATGATGAATTATATCCGACAGCAAGGCCTCTGGTTGTGAGGTTTTGAGGAGCATGGAACCAACTCATAATTGGTGTTTTTCCAAAGTCCACCCTGATCTGTGGCTAGGGTCCCAGCTATAGGCAAATAGTGACCCCACCCCCCACCTCCGCCAACAGAAACAAAACACTATAAAAGTATAAAAATACATTTTTATATAAGAAATTACCAAACAATATGCACATACTAACAAATTATAGCGACTTCACCCAAATCCATTTAAAATATTACTAAACAACCACTTGGGAACATCAAGTATTGTAAGCAACCTTCTACAACCGAATATATATTTTGGCTTTAAATAACCTACAAAGGGTTCATAAGTCATTAAAAAAATCGGCACTAAAAGTCATATGTGTGCATTCCCCCACAGATATTGAGTGCATAAGGCTTCCTTGTACTTTTGACTGGCTACCATGATGGTGATATTCCATATGTAACTATTCTCTTCATTTTTTTTATTTTTTTACACAAAATTAAAGTGTTTAAAAACAACAAAAATGAAGAAAAAAGTTCTCAAAAATGTATGGAATAATTCAGATCATTGAAGAATGGATTCACCAAAACATCTATGAAATAAAGCTGTTACAAATAAGTGTTTTATTATAGCCAGACTTCATATTTAAAGAGGCTTCTGTTATTGATTCATTCATTTTCTATGATTTAACAACCTTTTGCAGGTTATTTACAAACAGAAATGTTTTTAGATTTTAAGAAAATTTTTTTTTTTTTTTTTTTGATAGTAATATAATAATGGTTTAGTAATACAATCTTACTAATTAACCCATATCTGTAAGAAGAAGAGATAGATTCATACCTTTCCCAGGAGTAGTTGCACTTGCAGATAAGTGAATATGATGGATCCAATGGGAATTGGGACTCGGCTATCTGATTAACAATTCCAAGCCATTTTCAATTATACCGCCCACACAGTTAAGCAACATCAAGCTTGGTCAATACCTAGATAGGTGACCACTTTGGAATACCAGGTGCCGTAAGCTTGGAAGTGCAGGTGTTGTAGATAGATAACGGCTCAGAATTGGATATCAGAAAGCTGAGTTCCAATTCCAGTCAGGTTCATTATATTCATTTACATGCATATACCCTTGGGAAGTGTATGAATCCATCTCTTTTCCCCCCAGTCTATGGATTAATTAGTAGAACTTGTACCAGTAAATCATTATCTCCAAAACATTCTTAGAATCTAAAAATTTTTTCTGGCTTTAAATGAACTGCAAAAGGTTGATAAGCCGTTTTAATCAATCAATCCCCACCCCCAGCTATAGGAGAGAGTCACTTTTGTTTATAATGAAATAATGTAGAAGAAAGGGAATAAACAACGAAATAATCAAAATTAATATTTTTTGCTTGATAATGGAATATCAATGGTACAGACAATGTCTAGGAAATTATTCCATGTAAAGAATTTGCTCCAAACAGATGGTCTTGCGTCAGAAACTAAGTTTTGTACACATGTATGTAAAAGTATTCAAGTCCTTGATTATTTTTCCAACTAATCATTCAACATTTGATTTGATATTTATCCACACCATTACTTACCCCCCCACCCCACTGACAAAATATCATAAGCCTGCGGCTACTCTAACTCCACCAGTTCTGACCTTCACAGCTAAGACCTGCCATGCCACATACACTGAAATGAACTATCCTCATTCTATTTGTATAATAAGAAAGA